TTTTTCTGAAAATGATAAGAGATTTTAGTTTGGATTTGGTCCATTTATACTAGCCTCCATTGTGCATGGGGCTGCACATGGCCAGCAGCGATCACAATCGCCGTCTAACTTACATTTAACCATTTCGATATTGGTTAAATTTTTGGTAGTGTAACAGCAATCGGTTGTAAGTGGTCTTGGACCACAGTTGGACCAACAATTGCCCATTATGCAGACGGAATGGAAATTTTTGCAGTCTAATCCAGCGCGAATGAGGTCTTGCTGACGGTTATTTACCAAATGATGCTCGACGACTGCTGTTGTTACACCAGCGGCACCCATTGCAGCACCCCAACCAAGGAATTTGCCTACGACTGGTAATATTGATGATACAATGGGCCAAACTCTCTTATTTCGTTTTTTCTCTTTCGGATTTGAAAACGCAATTAAATTTTCCATTCCGTTGATCTCTTTTTTATCTAAAGTTGAATCAAATGTTGTCGATCGGGGATTTCTCACGTTAGACCGTAGGGAAGATGGTTTGCGACGGATTCTTGATTGTTCTGGAGCTTTTGTCGTCGTGATTGTCGTTGACTTTCCGTAAATTCTATCCATGATATTTCTCCATCGGTCTGCGTACGTTATATACGCATATAAAATTTCACTTTCTTTACACCGTGACCGAGCACTTTATACGCTATACTGATGTTTCTCCTATCGCGAACCGAAACACTTTCTTCTTCAGCTTGACTGCTGGTTTTAACTGAGAAGAGGAGGACTAAAAGTCAACACAACACAACGATTTTACTGCAACTTTTCATTTTTTTTGTTCAAACAACTTTTTTTAATTTATAATCTATGCTTATAAAATTAAACGGTCGAAGAAATCAACGATGTTTTTAGTTCATCGGTTGAAGATCGGTGTGCTAGCTTGATGTTTTGGTGCACATTCGCAAAGAACTAAATCGTTTTATAAAAAATATTTTTCATCATACTGTTGTTTCAGATCGTCTTCGTCTGCTGCGCACGACAAGAAAGTATTCAATATATATACATAGTAGTATAGATATGGCGGTTTCATCATAACCGGTTTTTGCTCCACCCAAAACTAGTTTTAACCACACCCAAAACCACTTTCACTCACACCACACCCTATTGAAGCTGGTGAAAGTGTGAATAAAACACAGAGTTTCTTTTTTAGGTTTTGGAGTCCGGAAATTTATCAGAGTCGTGAATTCTTTTTCACGCGCGACAAAAATGGGATCCCCTGAGTTGTTGGGATTTGGATCCAATGCACAATAAGGATCGGTTGGCTTGATATGCACTTCTATATTTCGTGTCCGATAATAGTTCAACTTTTCGTGGAATTCGCAGTTGTACGGGAATGAATCTGACATTTGATCACTGATACATATGATCTCTTTCGCGGCACACACCCTGAAGAGATTGGTTTGAGTCCAGAGAAAGAACACTGAAATACGATCTCTTTCGCGCCAACAGAAGCTATATTTTTTTATTATTACACACTTCACATAATCTTTGAATTGTGGCATAGTTTCTGCCTCTAATTTACAGTCAATCAAATTGTTGCCATTTTGTCCTGTAACGGCAGCAGTTAAAACTACTATAAGAAATAAAGAAACACTATATTTCGAACACATCTTATCATAATTTAGAAAGAATGGTATAAGGCTGAGGACTGAATAGCTTCTTCTTCAGATAGAGCAATCATTGGTTTTTTTTTTCATCCAAAAACTCTAAAATATTCATCGCTATGTCCGTTGATTCATCCATAAACCATTCAAGACAATTTGCACCACGATAATAATATCTTGATGTTGATTCATCGTTTTCATTCTTAAAATAATAGAATATAAATTTCTATAAAAAAAAATTATAATTTTTGAACGTTTCAAAGTTGTTGCCAACAGATGGCATTTCTATTGCACATTCGTTCATTTTTTCACAAGTTTTTTTATGTCCGTTTAATTCTTCATCCGAATAGAAATAATTTAAACAACGATCACAAATTGATATTTTATGTTCGTGTTTGGTTAACTAAGCGCGCACTAATTGATTTAAGTTTTTAATCCAGCAATAATGCGAATGCACATTCACTTCACTTGCTTCTTTGCTATGCATCGGTGTTTGTTCTGTTAGCAAAAGCAGATGAATGTATTGCTTTTCAACTGGTTTCATCGCCATATCTATACTACTTACATCAATTACTCCAAGATCACACCAAGATATGCCCTTCAAACGCCATGAATTGTTTGAATATCGCTCGATGAAAGTGTCGATGCCTATTATTCTCATTTCATCTCATACTTAAGAAGTTGATAGAGTTGGACAACATATTCGTAGTCGCACAAAGTGTCACTCCAAATGTCGTTGAAATTCTCGTATTGATATTTAATTTCGTCCATCCAGTGTTTCACAAGAACTTTTCTCCCATCAAATTCACAGTTGTTACTTATTTTTTCTTTCATATACGCACAAGCTTGCTCCATGGTGAAAATCAGAAAACGTCTGTTTTTTTCAAAATTAAATTATGAACTAGTAGTATAGATATGGCCCGTTTCGCGGTAACCGGTTTTTGCTCCTCCCAAAACCGGTCAAAAAACATGTTTTGTCAACGCCCAAAACAACTTTCATTTATTCAAATGAGTTGACAACCAAAACAACTTTCACTAATGTGCACATCTGTTTCAACCCATAGCGATGGCCATATAAATCCTGCTCGGGATGGTGTATTTGCACGCATAAGAAATGTGTTATTTCTTTATGGATCTGCTGCTGCAATTGGAACTGCTAATGGCGCTAGTGGAAGTGTAATAAATAAACATTTTATGCAAAACAATATCACCGAAACACCATCGTTCTCAGTGAATTCGACTTCCACGGTTGAAGACGAAATAAATAATCCATTATAACAAGATTGATTTTTTTTTCAATCATTCTTTATTCGTATAGCAGTTAAATTGAAGAATTAACACTGTGATTTTACCTGAGTCCCCGTCAGAGCTAAAAGCAGCTCCTCCTTCAATATGAATACAAATTACATTATTCTCATCGCAAGGTACAACTTCTGCACTAAGCATAGTGATTCTGTGCTGGAAAGATTTCCAAGAATATCTACGCCTTCTATCAAGGCCAACAGCCGTTAAACGTGTTGCCCGATTTAAAAAATTCAAACCCAGATGCACAAATAAAGGGACTTCAACTGTAATGACACTTATATCATGTTGAGCATTCTTTTCACCGAGAATGTACTTGTAATGGGATTCTACATTATCTACGGTTATTGTTTCAGTCTTGCCATTTGTAAATTCTATGGTGGCTTTTTCGAAATCCTCAAAGCAATGTGCTGAAGATAAAATCTGAAAAAATCGTTTTCATTATTTTATAAATATAAGGAAGACAGTCGATTATTGTTTAATGCTTACGTAATTGCGCGAGATAACAAAGCCTGAGCATTTTTCTCCATGATATAGCCAAGTTTCGTCTAAAAAATAACAAAAATTGTCATTATTAATAAGTTATTTTTGAGGAAAAATAAATGGGGCATTTCATATGAATGATATGAGTGCAGTTTTACTATTTATCGCGCAAGTCGAGGTAG